TTTACTTTTACTTGGAATACGGTTTAATACTCAAAAGGATACTACGTCTGCGAGTAACTGTCATTCGAAATTTGATGTAAAATTCAAGGAACTTGGGATATTCTGTTATATAGATAAAACAAGCAGAAAACGTCGGGTGATCGAGGTGCATTAATACATGTTGTTTATTGGTATGGAGATTAAACAAGAGGTGACTTGTTCGTAGGAAAGCATGGTATTTTCTTACCTCACCGTTTCTTATTGTTTTATTTATATGTTTTTTTGTTATTTCAAAGTTTTTAATTGATCTTATTTAGAATGCATCTACATCGAATCAAACAAAAACTAACCCACTTTTTCGGTAAATATCGACTACGGAAACGAATTTCATATAACTAGTTATTGTTAGAGGCTTAAAAGTAAGTATCATCAGGTTTTTATGAACATGATACAACAGCTATTGTAGTATACGTCGTTTCGTAACTGTGTGATAAAACTAAGCATTCTGATAATAATTAATATAAATAATAGTTTGATAGCTTTAACGCAACAAAAAACAGTCATGCTGTTTACTTAAACAGACAGGATATGGCTAGACAAAACCTGATCTTTGCGACAGGAAATTGTAATAAACTCATGACAGTCATATTGACCAAATTCCAAAGGTGCGTTCGGGTTGCCTCGATTGTTTTTTGGTATCGAGTGCCTATACTACGCATCCGGAAATGCCCTCTCGGGATATATAATACAATGTAAGTGCTACATGTGCATCGTCACGTAGTGTTCTGTGAGAAAATACACTGCCAATCACGGTATAGTACGATAGCTAAATTAACCCTATATTCATGACTATCATGGAATAAGAATTTAGGGTCTCGGCAAACGTGAACTGCATATAACAGATCGGGATCGATTTCTGGGTACACGCACCTGATATGCAGTTACATTTTCGACTTTTTCGCCCTCCGTTATGAAGGCGAATTTATCATTGCAGCGAATATAAGTAAACAGCATGATCAACATAGTGATTAAAGGTGAAGGTCGCAATTTACACTTGGCGTAAACCGATCTCATGACAAAAGTTTGACTGGGTGAACATTTCACCGTGTACAGTATCTATGTCCCCTTTGATATCTAACGTGGCTTCTAGAATCCTAGTGTGTTTGATTATGTATTTAAGTCTGGTTATATTAACCTTTGAATGCATTAAGGTAAAAAGTATGATAATCTGGATTGTGTAGTAATGGTATTCCATTCTTGGGGAAACTCGTTAGACTTATATCGTTTAAAAAAAAATTGTGTCGTTACCGAGATAGATAACTATTTACATCTTCAGAAATATTATAAATACTACTTTTTTAATGTATTAGTATACAAAATATATCAAAAGTACACACATACTTGGTGTATCTGATTCTGTAGACGTTTTCTGACCTTGCCATCAGTCAAGTTAATCCACTGATAAGATTAGACATTCTTGTTTCCTCTCGACACGCACAATTTAATTATGGCATGGACCGGCGATTGAGAGTAAACACTAAGTTCACGAAAAGTCGACATTTAGACGATTCCTCTTTCCGATTTAAATTCTGATTAACAACCTTTTACGTCAGGTTCTCACCTACCTGAAAACACAAAAGTACGTCTTAACTATTTAGTTTACGTCACGATAGCGTGGGTCTATCATGTTACACTCGTAACGCTGGCAAACTCGATAACATCGTGCAAGGGTAACTTCGCATACTAACGAATGTACAGTAAACATAAAACACCACGTTGATTGTTCCTAGCGGTATGTTATCGCCACACAATCACCGTCAATTTATTTTTCAGAAATCTCTTGTAAGTCAAAATTCATTATCTCTTCTCGATCTTATAGAAGTGCAAACTTCTTAGTGTTATACGAGAACGCTGCACCTTACGAACAGTTCAGAAGAGAGTCAGTTTCATTCTTTTGCATAACGAACCAATTTTGATATATTCGTGTAAGTTGTCGTTAATTGTGAGAAAGAGGTCACTAAGGTCGGTACTTTGATCAAAGGTTTACTTTAATTGTGTGGTACTTAATGTTATAGTGACGTGAATAACTGTGTTAACGTCTCGGAAACCATTATTCCCACAGACACATTACATAACTTTAAATAGCGCCGTCATCGATATCAACACAGGAAGATTCGGTCGAAATGCCATATGCGTTCTAGTACGTATTGTTTGAGTTAATATCTTTTGTGCAACTAATTACCTCACAACGAACATTAACCTAACGGGCATGCAAAACACATGCAAACATGGCAAGTGTTGGATGAATGTTTCATCGCAGGGATTGTGCGCATTGCTGATAGTATACTCATGTACATTCATATACACGTGAAGGAGCCCGAAATATGCCATGCCGTTCGTGTCATACGCTTGCCGGATTGTCAGCAAAAGAGGTGACTATTATTAGGTATTACAAGAAAAGCATCATTGACGGATTGACAGCCACCAACTGTCCGCTCCTGTTTTATTACCACTGTTGGTACATTAATCATCATCCTTTCTGGCCGAAGGCCATGATTGCCAACAATTTGGCGTTACTATCAACTAAAGTCTCATTACGATCAACATAAGAGAAATGTGTCCCTTTTTGCATGCTTTCATGCTTGTTTCTATCTCCTGAAATGAAAGGAATATTTTGTTTGATGGAAATAGAAATGATACTACTAAAAGAAGAGCACCTTCTAAACTATCCTGTTACCTCGAATATATAACCTATCGGTAGGGCATAACTTCTGCCAATCTACATCCATTATATGCATGTCTGCACTCGGATATCTCTGTCGATACCTTACAATGACATAAAAAAAACACCCATGATGTCTAAGGGCAAATCTCCAGTGCTAACGTTGCATGAAGGTAACAGCAGTTCACCGATAAGTTCCGAATGAGTTGGAACTCTATAATGAATATTAAATCATAACTGATTTTGTGTGAGAGCTTCATGGTTTATACTTTTAAGCATAAACGTTATCAATATATATATATATAATTAGCTAACTTTAAACAATGTGCAGCTTGTCATATGATAACGATTTCAAGACTGGCATTTGATACAAACAAATTTAAATTCCTCTCCGTAAATCGAGGTTTGGAATGCGTCCAGCTTACTGCTACAGGCTACCAGTTAAACACCGTACATTCAATTATAAACAATATAATATCTCCTTTCCCCGTGTGTCAGGGATTTGAATGCGAACAGATTATTGCTACTGGCTACTAGCGAGCACGGTATAGTTAATTATAAACTGTATATCATCTCCTTTCAATACGCAGTATGTTTGTAAGCTCAAACCAAATATCGGCTGGTCATTTGGCAGAGTTTAGAAGTATAATATAGCACATGTCATCAGTTGTCAGCCACGAGAGAGGACATTTCTTCATATCGTCAGGTCATTGTCACAAATAATTCACAGGAATGTACATCACTAAACTGTAATCTTCTGTAGGTATCCCAATCATGTTGGTCAATGAAGGGGTCGACATTCTCTTCTGCAAGTCAAGTGGACGTCGCTACCACTATACCTAGTTAGATCGTTACACGAAATGAAGTTGTAATTGATTGATCGTCGTCCAGTTTCTGTAGCTTGTCCTCTGAATACACATACTTATCACTGTTTAACGAATTACAAGTGGGCATTGACCTTTTTATGCGCAGTCAATACCAATGCTTGCAATTTTATTACAAAATACCGTTTGCTCCGTTGTGATAGCGACAAACAGTGTCAAACGAGAAAGTCAACATATAATTACGAAAGAAACAGGAATTGATTTGCTTGATAAGATTGTTGCTTTTTAACCTAAGATATGAGGAGATCCATTGGCGATATTGTCGCATAATTATTTATGGTGACTTTTTTTTTTAGTTTAAACATATTTTATTGTACAAATATACAAATGGATTGGACGACAAATTATTACAACTTAATAGAGTCCTCTCCTCAATACAAATGGTAAAAATAGTGTATGTTTTGGGGGAAACGGAAAAAGATAGGGTGGAGAAGGAAAGGTGGGGTGGGAGGGGTTGTGGGTGACATTACACTAATACGTCACAACAGGGACACGAAAATACGTCACCACATTATATTCTGACAACAGTTTGACTAAGTGTGCGTAGGTAAAATTGTAGGTAATGGCTTTGCCCTCGCCTCTTTACTGATCTATTTGAGAGGGAAAATTGGCTACCGAAAATACTTTCAATTTCATATTACAAATTGTTGGTTGTGGATAAACATTATATTTACAATTTGTTTACACATTAGTTGTGGAGAATATCGCAGTTCCATATTACCTACTGCTGGATTCTAGGAACACGTTTTGTTTTTTTGTGGTTAAGGCAGGGAACAGAGTCCACAATCAAGTCACAGTTCATTAGCGCCATCCTTGATCTAAGTAAACAATGCCACAGCACTTTCAGATCATATTGACCTTTACAAGCTGTACAAAGGTATCAAAACATGACGGCACATTAGCGATTTACGACGGCATCGTGACGTTTTAAACCCATTTGAAATTGTAATACGTTATCATATTAATATGACTTGTAATATGAAGAACTTAATTGAAAATTATATATTGATTGGTTTTGAATGTGAAAAAAATATTGAATCAATTGATCAGAGACATTGAGATGCGTTGCTGAATACAAGTACAGTATCAAGAATAATACAATCACATCATTATCGTCTTAAACTAATGTTTATGCACATTTGGCATTAATAGTGAAAAGTTTCTGCAAGTCATTCAAGAGAGATTGCCACTGCATGTTTACAGTTAAAAGGCATTTTCAGCATTCGAGTAAAAGCAGTTTTCATAAAAAAAACTTACGAACAATACTACCATATAAGTTTCATTAAAAAAGACCTCTTCGACGATTTTGTATTGTTTCTATCTACACTAAGAGATCTTCCGACACACAAGTAACACAGTCTAATAAAGCACATGATAGCATAACCCTACTAAGAACGTGCCTTTGTACTTTCTAGCTCTCACCGTGCGATTCCTGACGAGAAGATTCATAGGAGAGTACGACCCCAACTTAGGTAGGTATCACATTCCTTCTCCCCATCACCCCAGCACCCTATGACCTCCGGCAGCCTTAGTATCTATTGCGGCTCCAGCCGCTGCATCCAGAATTGTCCCAGGTCATACTACATGATCTGTGATTCCCCCACTGCCAATCTTAACGGCATCAAAGCGATGAGGTTGTGGGACGTTACGTGGAGAGAACACGGGTTCATGTTAACAGCAGCTGATATAACACATTGTGAAAGACGACGCGTAATTCTGTGCGATTATGTTAAACTTTAATAAAAAATAAGTTAATGAGCTATAAAATAGCATGTAACCTAGCGTGATTCCGCTCGTCGTACCGTGCTTTTTATACGAAAATAGCGTTTGAAACAAGTTTTATCAACGTGAAAATCTTTTAGAACAAGAAAATGTCGATTAGATTTTTTGTTTTTCTGTCTAATAACAAAACACCCCCACTCGAACCCTTTTCTCTAAGTCTTTTACTCGGCTACAAAACAACGGATTTCTCCGAACGTTTCACCATATATTTAGGAATATTTGTATAAAAAATATCTGACTAAAGTTAAACAGGAATGCGAGTTGTGTAGCCGAACTGCCCATGTCATTTAACCAGCTATACAATTTCACAAGGGTCAAGCTGCCACTTCCAGCTCAAGTGTTTCTTACACGATAAAATAATATCTGGTTTCCTTCTCAGTAATAATAAATAAAAATATAATAAAAATAAGATCTTTTGGCTATTAAATAGATTTACACGTAACATCCAACACAAAACTGAGTAGCCTGTTTCCATACATAAAGGCTAGACATGTGATAGGCTGATGATAAATAGAATACCAGAATTGCTCATGGCACGATTTAGATGCAAGGTGATAGTTTTACAAGTACATTGCATATTATGCTGAGTTATAAAGTCTCATTCTGTTAAAAGCTTTCATTGAAAATTACGATGCGTGAATAATTCAGTGAGGATGTTTAATCAAGTTACACAATTAAGTGTTCATTACATAGACGTCAGTATGTTAGAAACTGCAGCAAAAGAAACGAGCGTTTCTGAAGAAAATAAAAGGCAGGTGTGACGATTAAGAATAGAATTCGATCTTTTTTTTATTGTTGTGATAAAAGTGAACATTCCAGTTCGGTTGCATGTAAAATGTAACTAAAGACATGATATGTGATTACACATAATTTTGATTGTATTGTAGAGAAGACGTACAGCTGTAACAAGTGTATCGAGGGAGACAACGTTAACATCGAGGTCCTAGACACGGCAATACAGGTGAGCTACGTCACAGGAATTTCAAAACGACGAAGAACAAATGTTGTAAATTCAATATAAAGAAATATCAAACGTTGCTTTGGGGAAATTTGACGCAAGGAAAAAATTCTTAAATGATGTAAGTACGAAAAGGAATTATGTTACAGTTAACAACACACATAATGGTATGCATGCAAAAGGGGCCATGAGAAATTTGAGAGGGAGAACATTACATGATGTTTTTATTGTTTCTACCACATAGTTTATATAGAAAGAACATTGAGCGTTGAAATTACACAGGGTAGACATTACCTTACCACCGTGTCGAAGTTTCTTGATTCTGAAACGGTTACACATTAGGCTATATTCATTACGTGTGACTCAGTACAACAAGGATATATATATATATAAATATAAATACTGCATTATACGAAGTGAATACAAATAGATCGTGTAAATATATTAAAGGGAACTGTTATGAAGAAGTACATAATGCAATAAAGTTAGGCCCACAATGAATATGTCATTGTGATGCACATTGCGAGAAATTCAATCAAACAGGATTTTAGATTTTATCATCATTTAAATGTTTATTTTGGATTGCTTTTTTCTGATATGATCATGATGTATCGGCATTTTGATGTAATGTTTAATTTGTGTATCACTCTCCGAATGCCTCGTACCAATTTATAATACTTGCATGTGTCATCTTCTCTGAGTGAGTGTCTTTATCACCTTCCTGATCAATGAAATGTATATAATTTAATAGGAAGCCTTGCCAAAGCTATCACCAGATGAGGTAGAATAATATAGATATATAATCAATGAAAGAAACGAATAACAAGTATTGCGTAATCTCAGAACACCGGATATTGCTTCATGTACCAGCGTAAAGTATCAAAGACTTGTAACCTTAATTGTATTCCTAATGATATTGTTAACGTGTAATTAGCTTACATTTTTATTTCATACATACAGTCCTTAAATTATTCTGCCAATACAAACTATTACAAGTGAATATTTTCCAATAGCAAACTGTTTTATTCTGTTCGTCCAACTCTTTAAGTGATTCGGGATTAATAATGACCTGACGTCAAATCCAAATTATGACGGAAATTCCCGAATGATTTCAATGATTCCGAATGTTCGCCGACTGACGGAATTGGTAACCATCAAAAACGCGATATTGTTCCCGCAAAAATGACTATTTCGCCCTTTGGTAAAACAGTTTGTTAAAAAATGTATAATGAATCAAAATCAAAAATGACCGTAAAGAACGATAAAATGATTGTCTTTTGTTGTTTGAAGTTAAATATAATATTTAAATGCATTTTGTAACATTTCTGGTGGTATCCAACACAGTTCCTTTCAAATCTGTGTTGCATACCATCATAAATGCATTCTAAAAACAACCTCATTAACGATAGGGTGTCTCATGTTCATCAGACAAGGTCAAAAGTATGTAATGATTGCTCTTTGTTTTGCAGGGTGAGAAAAACAAAACGGAAGAAAACATCAAGTGGGCAGACGCATACGTGTTAATGTATTCTGTTACGGACAGTTGTAGTTTCAACGAATGCAGCCGAATCAAGTTCCTCATTAATTCTTACTGTAAACGGGTTCGTAAGATGAGCATGGCGATGGAGAGTGGCCCACAGGGGGCGCCGTGTGTGCTGGTCGGAAACCAGAATGACAGACTACACGACCGAATGGTCACGGAAGAAGAGGGTAGATCACGCGCAGTGGAACTTGGCTGTTCAGCCTTTTACGAAATATCTGTGCGGGAATCAGTCGACAGTGTTTCTAAAATATTCGAGGACATGTGTATTTATCACCGAAAAACGAAGAAGTCCAAACCGTTCTTGTACAAACAGCAGTCTATGCCTAGTATAGTGTTGGAACAAACGGACTCTGGAGACAGTTCAGAGGGGGAGTCGAGGGTTAGGGGGCTGTCTCGAAGGCGACAAGCTCTATATACCATCAGCTAGTACATACTTCTATAGGTATGTTACATAAGTCATAATGAGGGTTCTGACTCAACGAAGAAACACACAAAGTTTATCAACCTTGAACACCTAAGACACAAAAAATCTGATCATCGTAAGATTTCTGGCCCATTGGGGGAGTCATTGGGGAGATGAAATAGTCAACTTGTTTTTTACTCAAACGAAGCAAGTTCCAGGTGGCTACAGGATTGTTGGATCGACTGAAAGATAGGGTAGAATGTGACGTGCTCATTCAGTTCATTTCAATCATAACTAGTATGGTTACTACGATGATTCTGGCTTTAGTGGCGCTGGAACCCTAAATATACAAGCGAAGCACGTGCTATTGTACTGGTTTTGGCTCAATAGAAACGCCCATGAGTATAAGGCATTTCATACATTGTACTTTCTTGCTATATAATATACCAGAGTTTCGGGAGAGATGATGGTGACTGAGAAAGAGGTGGCAATCGTGAGGGAGGGATTTGGAGCATATTCTGTCATAATTCTTCCGTGTAATGGAATAACATGTCATTAAAATTGTTTTCCCACCAAAGTGTTAGGTCAAATACAATGTTTTTTATACAGTACGTCAAATCTACAACACCTTATACATGTTTATCTCAGCAACACATAGTAACGAAGGTGAAACTTTGGCGGTATCAACCTTGCTGTGAATACCTTGTTCAATAACTATTATTCATGCTAATTGTGTTGAAAAATCTCTACCATGAATATAGTATTTGAAACCCACGAGGACAACAACATAAGTCGATGATTTAATGTAGTTGTTAAAAGGGGACTATTTTAAAAATCGATTAAAATTGGATGCGAAGTTTCTTTGAATGACTCGGCAAGTGTGAAATAGTTAATATTTTGTTCACAGTCTCAAAAATGAAGATACAAGAGACAATGTGTTTGAAGTTTTGACATTAAAGTTTAAGAAAGTTTTAAACCACAATTTGACACAAATCCGTTATTATTTGTCTCCAGTGCAATGCTTAACCGCATACAAACGTTTAACTTATATTACATACTGTATTTAGTATTGATGAGATGAATTACAGAGAAAGGAATTCAGAGTGAGGATTGAAAGACTACCGTAAATTAGATGAGTGAGTGAAAGTGTAAGAAGGAATTTTATTGAATTGTTATACCATGTTATAAAATATTAAATTGTTATATAACTAAAACTGTTTTATTATATTTTGTTCAAACGAATTTACTTACTCTAGTATATGATATGCTCCATCCACTAACACTACGCCTATAAGAATTCCAAAGGGTAACACTCGTTAACGTTCTATGCAGAATAACGTAAGTGAGCGTTTATCCAGAAAATTCGAGGATGCCAACACCAACAAGCTGCTGCATATATACGCTGTCTACGAAATTTACAGTAGGTAAATATGTACGCTCTCCTTACAAGTATATCATCTCAAAAATCTTCTGTTCGTATACACAATATTCTTATGATTATTGTCATGCTGGTATAATTAGTTTTTCTTTGTTTTCATACCAAATACTCTTATCTGATTGGACGAAAAAATGTATTTCATTGTTCTATGAAAGAAAAAAAATAGGCCACGCCCACCGGAACTACTTTCGCTATGTCGGCAACTTCAAACGAAAATTATCAAAGAACTCCGGTGGCCTTTGGTCTTCGGTAGATTCCGTTGGATTTTCCGGGTTCATACAGTTTGGAAAAAGAATTCTTTTCATACCCCGATGAAAATAAAAATAAAAACTCAATGCTTAAATAACGCTATTTTCCATGACTTCATCCTACATATTCAAGAGTTCAGGGGGTTGTAATACTTAATTGAAATCTAGCAATACAAAAGCAATACTTAAATCTACAGAGAACGTTTTAGAACAAGTGTTCGTGCATACATGTACATGTAGCTATTTATTACACTGGCATGTACATAATAATGTAGTATTTTGTTTACCTTTATATATTTAAATTCCCGTCAAAATTATCTTTACCGATAACCTTACACTATATTTCGATATGTTCTATACGTTATAAATTAGATGTGAGGTACGTTAGGTTTATGAGTCGGTGGAAGGTGAGATACAGGTGAGAATACTATTGCAAACCTTTACGACTTCATACCTGTCCACGTATCCATCACAGCTAACACCAACCTGTTGGGTGACCATTTAAACCTTCACATAAATGTCTTAGTTTTATCCAAATCAAATCTTCACAGGTTTCTTTGGTGGTTTGTCACAATAATTGTTGGGTTTTTTTGTGTCACTAACTTGACAATCAAAAGAGATTAGTAGAGGTAAATGTTTTACAATAAACTTACCTTGAAATGGCTGTATCCTATTGCTTTGCTGATCACTTAGTTCGGATAATAACATGTTCCAGTTGAATACTTGAAAAGGTTCAAAATCTGCACATTCTCTAGATCTGATGCCAAGTTGTGCTTGAGTATGGTATTTTCCATAAGAGTAGACCCAGAGTACCGGGAAGGAGTGGGGGCAATAAGGCGCAAATTGCCGAACGGGTTTGGTTTGAAACCGTTCCGGATACAAATAAAAGCGTACTTTTTTACACACACCAACAGGTATCAATTTTGAAAGCGTAGGTACATTGTAGTCATGACCTTACGATGCAGTAAAACATTTACTGCAGTCCTTAAATAATCTTAGCTGTTGATAGGACGTACAACCTTGTACAACCAACCAAACAATCAACTTTAATGTGTCTGCATCTAATACTTATCATGTATTGTAACTAGGGTAGACAGTAAAAAAAGTTTATTGTAATGTGGATTTATGCATTTAGATTGGTAATGAAATCGAGATTGATTGCACGTAAGAGTGGGATACGTTGTAACGGGGCTAGTTGGGTTGTTAAAGGGTTAGTTATGACGGGAATTGGTTGTGAATGAAACATTTGTGACGGGATTTGGTTGTGATAGGGTTAGTTAGTTGTGACGGGATTTGGTTGTGATAGGTTAGTTTTGACGGGATTTGGTTGTAATAGGGTGAGTTGTGACGGGTTTTGGTTGGGATGGGTTTAATTGGGACGGGATTCGGTTGTGATAGGGACAACTGTGACGGGATGTGGTTGTGGTGGGTTTAGTTGTGAGGTGACTCGGTTGTGATCGGGTTTCTTGTTAGTTGTGACAGGATTCGGTTGTGATAGGTTTAGTTGTGATGGGTTGATTTGTGACGTGATTCGGTTGTGATCGGGTTTGTTGTTAGTTGTGACGGGATTCGGTTGCTAAGGATAAGTCGTGACGGGATTTGGTTGTGATAGGGTAAGTTGTGACGGGATTCGGTTGTGATAGGATTAGTTGTGACGGGAATTGGTTGTTAAAGGGTTAGTCGTGACGGGATTCGGTTGTGATAGGGTAAGTTGTGACGGGATTTAATTGTGATAGGGTTAGTTGTGACAGGATTTGGTTGTGATAGGGTTAGTTGTGACGGGATTTGATTGTGATAGGGTTAGTTGTGACGGGATTCGGTTGTGATAGGGTTAATTGTGACGGGATTTGGTTGTAATAGGATTAGTTGTGACGGGATTCGGTTGTGATAGGGTTAGTTGTGACGGGATTCGGTTGTGATAGGGTTATGTGTGACGGGATTCGATTGTGATAGGGTAAGTTGTGACGGGATTTGATTGTGATAGGGTTAGTTGTGACGGGATTTGGTTGTGATATAGTTAGTTGTGACGAGATTCGGTTGGGATAGTTTTAGTTATGACGGAAAAAGGTTGTGATAGGGTAAGTTGTGACGGGATTTGATTGTGATAGGGGTAGTTGTGACAGGATTTGGGTGTGATAGGGTTAGTTGTGACAGCATTTGGTTGTGATGGGTTAGTTGTGACGGAATGTAGTTGAGATAGGGTTAGTTGTGACGGAATGTAGTTGTGATAGGGTATAGGTTGTTAAAGAGTACGTTGTGACAAAATTCGGTTGTGATAGTTTTAGTTGTGACGGATCTTTTCTTGATAGGGTTAGTTGTGACTGGATTTGGTTGTGATAGGGGTAGTTTTGACAGGATTTGGTTGTGAAAGGGCTAGTTGTGACGGGATTCGGTTGAGATAGGGTTATTTGTGACGGGATTCGGTTGAGATAGGGTTAATTGTGACGGGATTTGGTTGTGATTGGGTTAGTTGTGACATTTGGTTGTAATAGGGCTAGTTGTGACAGTTGGTTGTGAAAGTGGACGTTGTGACGGGCTTTGATTGTGATAGGGTTATTTGTGACGGGATTCGATTGTGATAGGGTAAGTTGTGACGCGATTTGATTGTGATAGGGTAAGTTGTGACAGGATTTAGTTGTGATAGGGTAAGTTGTGACGCGATTTGATTGTGATAGGGTAAGTTGTGACGGGAATAGGTTGTGATAGGGTTAGTTGTGGCGGGAATAGGCTGGTAAAGGGTCAGTCGTGACGGGATTCGGTTGTGTTAGTGTAAGTTGTGACGGGATTCGGTTGGGATAGGGTTAATTGTGACGGGATTTGCTTGTGATAGGGTTAGTTGTTACGGGATTTGGTTGTGATATGGTTAGTTGTGACGGGGTTGGTTGTGATAGGGTTAGGTTTGACGGGGTTTGGGTGTGATTGGTTTAGTTGTGACATTTGGTTGTAATAGGGCTAGTTGTGACAGTTGGTTGTGAAAGTGGACGTTGTGACGGGCTTTGATTGTGATTGGGTTATTTGTGACGGGCTTCGGTTGTGATAGGGTTATTTGTGACGGGATTCGGTTGTTATAGGGTTAGGTGTGACGGGATTTGGTTGTGTTAGGGTTAGTTGTGACGGGATGTTGACATTTGGTTGTGATAGGGCTAGTTGTGACAGTTGGTTGTGAAAGTGTACGTTGTGAAGTGATTTGATTGTGATAGGGTAAGTTGTGACGCGATTTGATTGTGATAGGGTTATTTGTGACGGGATTCGGTTGAGATAGGGTTATTTGTGACGGGATTCGGTTGCTAAAGGGTAATTTGTGACAGGATTTGGTTGTGATAGGGGTTGTTTTGACGGGGTTTGGTTGTGGTAGGGGTTGTTGTGACGGGATTCGGTTGGGATAGGGTTAATTGTGACGGGATTTGGTTGGGATAGGGTTTGTTGTGACGGGGTTCGGTTGTGATAGGGTTATTTGTGACGGGATTCGATTGTGATAGGGTAAGTTGTGACAAGATTTAGTTGCTAAAGGGTAATTTGTGACGGGATTTGGTTGGGAAATTGTTAGTTGTGACGAGATTCGGTTGTGATAGGGTAAGTTGTGACGGGCTTTGATTGTGATTGGGTTATTTGTGACGGGCTTCGGTTGTGATAGGGTTAATTGTGACGGGATTTGATTGTGACAGGGTTAGTTGTGACGGGATTGGTTGTAATAGGGTGAGTTGTGACTGGGTTTGGTTGGGATGGGTTTAATTGGGACGGGGTTCGGTTGTGATAGGGTTAGTCGTGACGGGGTTCGGTTGCTAAAGGGTTAGTCGTGACGGAATTTGGTTGTGATAGGGTAAGTTGGGACGGGGTTTGGGTGTGATTGGTTTAGTTGTGACATTTGGTTGTTATAGGGATCGTTGTGACAGTTGGCTGTGAAAGTGTACGTTGTGACGTGATTTGGTTGTGATAGGGTAAGTTGTGACATTTGGTTGTAATAGGGCTAGTTGTGACAGTTGGTTGTGAAAGTGTACGTTGTGACGTGATTTGATTGTGATAGGGTTAGTTGTGACGGGATTCGGTTGAGATAGGGTTAATTGTGACGGGATTTGATTGTGATAGGGTTAGTTTTGACGGGATTTGGTTGTGATTGGTTTAGTTGTGACATTTGGTTGTGATACCGTTTGTTGTGACGGGAATAGGCTGTTAAAGGGTAAGTTGTGACATTTGGTTGTAATAGGGCTAGTTGTGACAGTTGGCTGTGAAAGTGTACGTTGTGACGGGCTTTGATTGTGATAGGGTTATTTGTGACGGGATTCGGTTGTGATAGGGTTAGTTGTGACGGGATTCGGTTGTGATAGGGTTAGTTGTGACGGGATTCGGTTGTGATAGGGTTATGTGTGACGGGATTCGGTTGTGATAGGGTAGGTTGTGACGGGATTTGATTGTGATAGGGTAAGTTGTGATATTTCGTTGTGATATAGTTAGTTGTGACGGGATTCGGTTGTGATAGTTTTAGTTGTGACGGGAAAAGGTTGTGATAGGGTAAGTTGTGACAGGATTT